GGTTGGTCCCAGGCGCTGGCTGGTGCCGCTGGCACCATGTGCGCGTTCGGGTAGTCGCCGGCGTACAGCTGAGCACAGCCAGCGACGGCTGGGCACTTGCTGAGTGCCATGGGTGACTGCCGTGCCCGCTGGCGACGGCCTCGACTCGCACAAGTACTGCCGGACGCAACCATGCATCACGGGCAGGCGACTGGTGCGCTGGACTGTGTGACCAAGACCATCGGGTACTCGGGTGTGCTGCTGGGCATCACCGAGACTCGCTGTGCACCGTCGGTACGCTGTCGGGCGTGCGTGAAACGCTGCTGGCATGCATACATGCTTCGCGAGACACGCTGCTGGGCGTGCGACGCGTCGCTGCATACGCGAACTGGGTGGACGGGTACTGTAGCGCGTTGTCATGCGTGCGGGCGCGCACTATGCACGTCTGTACGCGTGACTGCGATATTACAAGGCTTGACTGCCGAGTACTGGGTATGCGTACGCGTTACTGGGCGCACACACGCTGCCCGTGTACTCGCTAGGCTTGCCGGACGCGCCTGCGCGCACTCCGCGTACGGTAGGCGTCACGGTCGGTGTTTCGCCGGCCGTCCGGCTACTTTTTCCGGCAATCCACTTGTGACTGGACATGATTTGACTTAAATAACATAATTATGCAACAAGCGTTCGGGACTTGCCGGCTAAAAATTGAAATCACTCGGGAGGGCTTATATAGCACCTCCGAGGCCATTTTGCTAAAGAACTTGGACCGAACAACATGATATCGACATGATCTCCTTACAATGGACTAAAATACATAAAAAGAGGGTAAACAAGAATGTACCCTTCAGTTTGGACGAGGATTGCACGATGACTTGCGTGTGTTCGATACTCCTTTAATGTCCTTATGCTTTTCCCTTTCTTCGGCAAACCTTAGCTATTTTTGTGCTATTTTTCCACTATTATTTCTTCACTATTATCTCTCTCAAATATGAGCTAAAGTTGGTCGAGTTTTTGTGCATGAAAAGTGCATGAGAAGTTCACACGCACGGTAATTTAAAGAGGTGAAAACCGAGGGTGAATTTGGGTCTAAGAGGTGAGCGATGACACGATCTCCTTCGATTACAAGTGTCAAAAGCACGGCTGAAGTGTTGGGCAATTTTTCTTAGTCACGGCTGATGTGGCGCGCATGCACGGCTTAGTCACCTTTCGTGCGTCCGTGGCTCGCCATGTGTGCAAGCACATAGGTGATTCATCACCCCACTTGCACACCTAACCTTTATCCTTGCATTTTTCCTCACGGTAAAATTAAGGTGGAAGTTTGGTCTGATCATGCTACTAAGCATCGCCTAAGTGCGTGCTTAGCGAGTACTTAACGCGCGCGCTAATGCGCTGTGCAGTGCTGCGCGCGATGCGTGTTCATGTGCGTGGCTGTGTGCACGGCATGCGTGCATGCGTGCGCGTACATGCGTACGCTTCGTATACCTTGCATTCTCTCTCAACTTAGCTTAGTTTCAACCTCGAATTTGATTCCGAACATGCTAAACTATTAATAATTAATCCTGATTAATAACGTCCGTTTATAAAATAAACGGTTCGGAAATTAATTATTGAACTTGACTCGGTTAATAATTAACCGGATAACCCTTCCGACTTAACGTCGAACGGATTTGCTGAAAATGAACGGAATTAAGAAAAAACAATACATCATTTTATATTAACAAAAATTGGGTTATTACACAAGCTTTGACTGTGCTTGTTTCACGGGTGGTAGGTTATTTATGTGGGGTGGTGATGCTTGAGATATTACCAGAATACCCTTAATGACTGTAAAAATTGGCATTTTTTTAGCCATTTGATCATATGATCTAAGGCTAAAATTTATTCTTATTTCTTTCACTAGCATCATTCTCACTGGAGCGCGACCATATATATATATATATATATATAT